CTTTAAAGAATTATTGACTTTTATTTTAGAAAGCCACAAATATTTCTATAAACCAAAAGCATAAGCGTGACTATTTGCACACTTATAAAATTTATTGATTTATATCAAATGGCAGACGTTTTGATAGTTATCACTAGTCCTTAAGTTGATTTCGGGCTTCACAGAGGGGAAGGTATATCAAAGTGAAAAAAAGTCGAGATGGTGGGGAGCACAGAAGAGTGTTTCAAAGATGTAAATGAGACAGACACAAAGGTAGAAAAAAAGGTGAGGTGAGTACTGTGAAATAGTCGAATATGACATACAGATGGGATGATGGTAGTTTGAAGTGAGAAGTCAACTGTCGGTTAATAGACTTTTTTGCTGTATGAGTATACGTTGCCCAAGGTGCACCACGTGGAGGTAAATCTATCGTACACCCCACACTTATAAAATTAATTAGTGTTGACAGAAAATATAGTTTTGCATTTTAATGCAAAAGAACTATAATAATCAAATAACGTAACCTTGGAAAGTGATGTAGCATAGAGTGATGGTGGGACTGAATAGGATACTGGAATGATTTCGCGATATCACTAGCTTTCATTTATTTGCTATTCGGAAACACTGTTTTGGTGACTTTTGCATTAACGATATAATAATGAATACTGGTGACTAAATTTTGAGGATTTAACCCTGCGATTCGGGATAAAATTATTTGCACGACCGAAGAAGATTAACAATGATTTGATATAGGATAATTTTAAAAAATATCAATTTTAGTTTGTTTTGGCTTTGATCAGTCATGAGTGAAAACACAATAGCAGGAGAGAGGGATTTAAGTAAGGCAGAGCTCTTTCTCTTTTCTCTTCTTAATTCTTCTCTTTTGAAGTGGAGTTTTAAGTTTTGACTAATGATTTTATCTAACTCTTGTAGAAATATTATGCTAATAAGCTTTTAATTATATTTTTGTTTTAAAAGCTTTAAATATTTATTTATTTCAAATGGCAGGCGTTTTGATAGTTTTTATTAGCCCTTTAGCTGACTTCGGGTTTCACAGGAGGAGCATCAAAGTGGGAAAAATTCGAGAGGGGGGAACAGAAGAGTGATTCACAGATGTAAAAGAGACATACAAAGGTAGAGAAAAAGATAAGGTGAAATGAGTACTGTAGTACTCGAATATGACACACAGTGGGGTCATGATAGCTTGAACTCAGAAGTCAACTGCCGATTATTAGACTTTTTTACCTCATGAGTATACGTTGCCCAGGGTGCACCACGTGGAGGTAAGTCTATCCCACACCCCGCTTTAAAAATTAATTTGTTGAAAAAAATTGTGATTTCGTCTTCGTAAAATATATGTTACTTGACTAATTTGAGAAAAATAATGTATATCTCTAGTATAAAATTGACCTCTGCAATCCTCCCTGAGTGAAAGTTTGCTTAGTGGTATAGTTATCTTAAATGTTATTTAATCCTAATCTAGCAGATATTATTGGCTGTCTAAGTTGATACTAACATTTGCTACAGAGCTCCGTTTAATACTCTAATGAGTTAGCATTCGACTTTAAAATTTTCTCTGGATAGTCATTTTTCGATTTCTACGTGGTGCACTCTGGGCAATGTATACTCAAAAGGCAAAAAAGTCTATTATTCGGCAGTTGACTTCTAACTTCAAACTACCATCACCTTGCGGTATATCAAATTCGACCACTTCAACAATACTCATCTTACCTTTTTTCTGCATTTGTGTCTATCTGTCTCTTCCTCTGTGAATCACTCTTCTTTCCGCCCTCACAAAATTTTTTCACTTTGATGTCCCCCCCTCCACCCTCTGTGAATTCCGAAGTCAGCTAAAAGGCTAATGATAACTATCATAAAGCCTACCATTTGAAATAAATAAATGCCTTAAAGTCAGGGTATTTTGTCCACCTTCAATTCAAATGAGGGTATCTGATGGTACTTTTTAAGTTGTTATGTAGCCTTGAGGATGACGTAATTAGTTTGTTTGCAATGTCTTAGTGCTAAATACGCATCAACATTCGACTAATAGCAGGAGGAATCGTAGATTTGCAAACAATTTCACTTCTAGAAATTGCGGACCTTTATGCGTTAAAGCCTTAATGGCGCTAAAATGATGGTTTCAAGAAGATTCTTTCGATCAGGATATAAATCCACACAACTCAACCTGGGTAAATAGCATCAAGGAACCGATCTAACAAAATATTTACATTCCACCATCTTTCTTAGTTATTAGCGTTAACCAGAGCGTTTGAATACATTTATAACTTGACGTGTTTCAGTGAACATCGATCTTGTGGTTATGGATGTGGTAGGCTAATAAGTTGACCACTGTGTCTTCAAGGCCCTGAAATTGTCTTTAAAATTATAAAAATAAACAAATATTCAGACTCTGTTATTCAAATATCATCTTCAATCGTACTGACCTATCTCCCTATAGATATTGTGGAGATAAATATGCAACCTTGATGGTCGAAGTCAACAACACGCAATAAGTACTCCAACTCAGATAAGCTATTAATAGTTAGGAATCTTAAAATTCGTAAGGGTAGTTCTTCCCTATGCAGCATTTAAAATAAAACGGTTTGCTTACTAGTTCGATTCTTGTTATAAGTAAACGAGTTTCCTACAAAAATTTCCTTAATTAGGAATGGAAATAAATGCACTCTCGGAGCTTCATTTGTCAACATTATTTTCTTTTTACTGTGCACTCGATTTTGGTCCAACACCGACCCATAAAATGTACATCCAATGTATTTCACACGTTGCCGTCAATGACATTGTAGAGCTAATACATAACAAAGGAATGCAAATATAACGGCTTTCATATAAAGTGTTGACTTCCGTATGCTTTGGCATTGTATGTCCTTTTGGACAAAGCGTTTGCAGACTACGAATTCTTTCTATGGCTTCATAAGAACTAGAATTAATGACTCCAAATCCAACCATCGCGAAGATGAACTAAACATTCAGAAAGGCGTTTCCCTTCCCCGTAAATAGCTTTTAATACTGTTGATAAGATTATAACATTGACTTACCTTCACGTGGTGCACCCTGAGCAACGTATTCTCATACGGCAAAAAAAGTCTATTAACTGGCAGTTGACTTCTCACTTCAAACTAACAAGTCTATCAACCGGCAGTTGACTTCTGACTTCAAACTACTAACACCTCACTCTATGCCATATTCGACTATTTCCACAGTAGCTCACCCCACTGTATGTCATATTCGACCCCTTCCACAGTACGCCACCACCCCACTGTATGTCATATTCGACCCCTACCACAGTACTAACCCCACTGAATGCCGTATTCTACCACTTTTACAGTATCCATCACCCACACTGTATGTCATATTCGACCCCTTTCAAAGTACTCATCTTACTTTAACGGTACAAGTCTATTAACTGGCAGTTGACTTCTCACTTCAAACTAACAAGTCTATCAACCGGCAGTTGACTTCTCACTTCAAACTACTATGACCTGATTCTATGCCATTTTCTATCGATTCCACAATAATCGTCTTACCTTTTCTCTGCATTTGTGTCTGTCTGTTTTACATCTTTGAAGCACTCTACTGTTCCCCCCTCCCCTCTCGATTTTTCTTCAATTCGATGTACCTTCCTCTCTGTGAAGCCTG